GATATGAATAAATACTTTAACATTTTCCAGAAACCAACGAAATAAGCGTGATTCGTACGTGTTTGCCATTCATATTGTATTGCATGGTCTGTCTCATGTAGAGGTAAGTTGGCAAGTCTCGATAATTTACCTAGGTAAGGCGCCCTTCAAACCGGAAAATAGTAAAGTTATCGCATCATTAAGGCGCCACTATGACATTTACATAGTCGGTTAAATACAATATAAGTTGCTGCTGATTTAGTACTAGTGTAATTAAATTATATTACAAATTAGCATACGTGATATGCCAAGAGTGACGTCGATGATCAAGGGGGAGGGGCTAGTACTAATTTATTTGCGCTTGTCAACATGTGGTCCAATTTTGTAAAGAAAGATTGATAAGATACCGTAGTTTGGCGGAGTAGTAGTGGGGGGTAGCACATGCAGGAGTTTTTTACTCTTGACATCGTAGAATATAGGCATGTAATACGTTTAATTAATTAATTAGGTGTAGCATTGGATCTTCATTCTTTCTAAATATTGCCTTATAAAATGTTGTACTAAATAATTGCTGCAATTAATATTAAAGGCGTTGAGTAAACATTTGTAAAACTAGAAGATTTCTCAATATAATTCTACATTCTCGGATAAGACCAGTCTACTAAGATTGTAATAATAACTAACTTTTACTCATAAAGGTTCAGGGCTGCTTATCTTGAGCAGTTTAATTTTATCGCGCCTGCAGCCTTGTAGATAGCAAACTTTAAAATGGTGTTTAAAACGAAATGTAAAATCTGAATTACTTAGGCACCACATGTATTTAGTATACTATCTATTTTATCTTCTCCCCGTTGTTTTGAAATGCTACCACTTTAATTACTGAACATATGTGTTTGAAACTGTTAGTTTCAGATTTTGGAGAGCTTAAAATGTTGTTGAGTTGCGATAAACAGACCTCAAGACCTTAGAGTTCGTTAAAATATTGTATAATTCATCATGAAATATGTATGCCATAATCAAAATTACTCAAACTTTTCCTGGAATTTAACAGAATAGTATTTTCATATGTCTTAATTTTTTAAATGTCTCCATTACGTTTTACGATCCTCGGAAAAATTGCAACAATTGGATTCTTTGAACTATGATGTCATATCATTTACACGTTTATGACGTGGAATTGATCACATATAGGTTTTTTGCTATGTCTAAGTTTTAAATGTAAAAATAATAATCTTAAAACAATAAAATTTTGAATAACCTCAAAAAACTTTAGCATTTCTAATACCTGACCAAGGAGAATTTTTCGTTTCTTACGAGTAAAATCACAATACTTGTACAAGTATTTAACTTATTTATATGAAGAACGATGGACCGATGTCCTGGTTAAGGTTGCGGGACTGCACTTGATGAGGAAGGCACAGGATCGGGCATTGTGGCAATCAATGGGGGAGGCCTACGTTCAGCAGTAGAAGAATTAAGGCTGAATATGATATGAAGAACTATCTCTTGCCCGCGATTTCGTCTGCGCAGAATTTAAAAGAGGGTATGAAGTATATTATGTGATACTCGGGTCTATGTTCTTTGTTTATACCTAATTTCAGTAAAATGTATTGAGCCGTTGTGGAGTTATCATGTTTCAAAATACTTTGTGTAAACACTAATGCTACCTTCAGTTATTCTATGTATTTATAGTTATAAGTCTTTAAAAATCCTTTAAAAGTATAACTTCATAATATTTCAGGGACAACGAGTCTTTGCTCAGTGTCACGTGTGAGCATAAATCAAACGCGCCGGCATGCGTCGGCGATTATCAAGGGACACGACCTGTCGCATCTTCCAAGGTGACAGCTTTTTGTTACAGCGAAATGTATATGAATAATAACAAAAAAGTAATAAATTTTAATAATATATTCGCTGCTTTATTTAATTTACTGTTCTTTTCTTGAGGTGATCTTGGAAACCAAATGATCACGTATTAAGGATTACTAGTGGTCGCCAATCTTATCCAATAATTAATGAATTTTCTTGATTAAAATTAGCTGTACTTCATCTCCATATTAACTGTGCCAAACATGTTCAGTCGTTCGCGAAATTTCCTTAAAAAGAGGTATAAAGTCTTCGCTTCACGTATTAATTAATTCGATGGGGTTTATTTACAAAAAAATTACCGTTACGTGGTACGGTTGACATTTTTTCTTCATCGCGTCAGACAGCAAAGACGTCATCTATCATAATTAATATTACGTGACGTAGAAGAAATTTATACTTTAATATTTTTCTATATTTCATTGCGATGCATTTATGACGATATTTTGCTATTATTTAGTTTAATAATAACTAGCTGTCGCTCGTGACTTCGTCCGCGTGGATATATAAAAAAACTTAATATATAGATAAGTTAAATAAAAAGCAGCTCTTCGGGGCATACATTTGGAAAAAAAATAGTATCCTATGTCCGTCTCCAGGCTCTAAGCTACCTACTCACCGGTTTTCAACCATATCGGTAAAGCCGTTTTTGAGTTATAAATAGTGTAACTAACACGACTTTCTTTTATATATATATATATATATATATAGATGTTAAATGTTTCGGAAACTATGGTTTAAATCATTTTTGTAGAAAACTTTGTACGACAAAGAAAATCACGACAAAAAAGATAACATTTTCTTATCCAATTGCAAAATCTCGTAATGTTACAAGGAGGTATACAAAGGTAGTTTATTTTGTGTCCGCATCTTTTAAGTTGTTCACCATTTTCCTTATCACTAGGTAAAAGTCACGGTTCCCACGTAGCTACTTTTTGTTATTCGGTTTAAGTATTTCTTAGATGGAGAAGACAATGACTAATATATTTTAACTAAACTAAAGGTCTTTAAAATTTGTAAAATTCATACAATAACAAGTTTTAAATTAATATTAATATGAATTTAAAAAACATTCGACCAATCGTATAACTAAGTTTTTTGAACTACTCGATTCATTTATTACTATGAGATACTTAAGTTCACAAAAATTGACAGTTGCTTAAATGAATAATTTCCATAAATATGATTAATTCTCCCACACATGAAAGATGTACCCAGTGTTAAAAACACCTTGAATTTATTCACGACATGAACTGCTTCGGGCATGGCCAGTACTGAATAATGAGACACCTTATAATTTAAAATAAATTGACAGTAATAGTCGATATATCGACAGATGCGTAAATAATTAATAACATACGTAAACTTTAAGTAATATTGAGGTATTTCTGTTAAACATAAACCTTTTGTGAGAAACTACTGATATCCAACTGTTGACTGCAATTACGATATTGTTGAACAGAAGTTACACAAGCTTCTTATTTCGAGGCATTTCGATTAATATTAATTATCGTATACATCGCATTATTCAAGATGACTTGTTATTTGTCTTTTATCAGATTTATAAAAGCTCTTTTTAGTATATTTTGTTAGTTTAGTGTTAAATTGTAATTAGCAAATTCATTCAAAAGTAATAAACCATTAATTCTGCAATGAATCCGGATTTCAATAAGTGTAGCGACACACTTTATGAACGGCGCTGATACTTCTGCGACTAAGTTATTGATCGATGTGCTTTTATGTCGGCATCACAAGCTGAATGTGCAGATTAGTTGCGCGTAGAGTGTAGCTAGCTATAAGAACTAAATTCAATATTTTTGCTGAAATAATCCTTACCATTATTTGTTCCGCAAGTGTGTCACGACACTAGTATACTTCACTAATATAATTAAGAAACTACCCACATTTATCGTATAATAACATAACATTTTAACCTAGTTTCAGTAAACTATTGTAAACTTAAAATCTTCAGTTTTCTTTTGTATGGTGTATAATTAATTATTCAAGAAATTATCTAATTTAAAACTTAATTGTGATGGCCATCTTCGGTGTTACTTCACGTTATGTGTATTTCGCCGTTCCTTTATTTGGGTTTTTCATAGGCAAATTCCTGGACGATCAAGAAACTCTGAGAATGACCAATTTCAGGGATAAATCTTGTCTTTATGGAGGAAATGGGAAAAGAGATACACCATCATGGCCTTAAAAATGTTAATTTTTAAATACATAAAAACTCATATTTACAAAATGCACTGTGGCATTATTAAGGTAAGCTAATTTTTATACAAGATTTTTCAGCAATGGTTTTAATACTAAATTTAATATTATTATAATAAAGAAACATAAAACTTAAGGCTAATTAAAAGAACATGTGTTGGAATTAAATGCTCATTATAATACGTAGTTTTATTTTAAGCATTCTTAACATTGCTGTTAATGAGATGTAACATAAGTAAAAAATAATGCTTAGTTGTGAATAATTAAACAATTTGAAGTAATTACAAAGCTTTATTACCAATTAGATTCATATCAGTATTGTTGATTCTTTGCTTATTAACAAATTTTAACCTTCATTTTAACCCGGAAATATAGGAATTTCAAAGATGTTTTAGTATATCATAATAATGATTTTTTTCTAAATACTTTCATAACATAAAATTATTTCTTCTTGGAATTAAAAAAAAATCTGTTATAAATAAAGTGGTTATATAAAATTTGATATTTGGTGGTGATATATATTTAATATATAAAGCTAAAAAATGATATCAATTAGTTTGTAGAACTAAATAAAAATAAATAGATTGTTTTGTTCACAAAAAGCTTATCATTGAAAAAGCTACTAAGTAAAAAAAGTATTATTGTCTTTTTTATAATTGAATTCATTGAGACATGTAAAGAGGTTCTGATGCAATGTATTTGAAGTCCAAAAAGCATCTTTCTATTTTTTAAATTGATGAATTATAAAGTGAGTAATTTTAGTTTTGAACTGGTGAGTTAAATTTAATATATCTCATAATCGTAATAATATTCAAGGTAATTGATGTTTTAAGAAGATACATTTTTTCTTAATGTTTCCACGATGGTTTAACAAAAACTTTACGTAAATCTTGCTATCTATAAATTGAGTAATCAGATCCAACACAATTAGTAGTGGAGTTAATTACAACAAGTGCGTGTTCTAAGTGTGAAGCAGAATAAAGGTGCAATTTTTAATTTTGATTTTAATGATATAAGAAAATAGTTTGAAACTGCTTACAATAATAAGTATAATTTATGTTTAAAATACTCATTACTGACATGTTTAAAAGCATACATAACGAGATATATAATTTTGGATGTTCTCTGTGGCGTTTCTGAATAACAATGGGCCTAATATTTATTTATGTTATAATACAATGGATTTATCTATTATATACAAAATATTTCATTTTCAACACTATGAAGAGTTAAAAGAATAGTATTTTCAATTATTTTCCTTTCTAAATATTTTATAAGGAATCAAAAAACGTAAATATTACTTTTTGTAATTTTTTTCATTTATTTTATCTTTTCAGATGATATTTTTACTTACATTACTTCTCTTTTATTCTCTGGCTAGTGGTCAGGTTATACCAAATAGACCTGTAACTCCAGCACCTGGAGTTGTTAATGTCTCCCCAACATCTGTGTACCCTGGATTTAATAGAAATCCTTGGCAAAATGGATACAATCCATACTACAATTCACAAGGAGTCGCAGTACCCATCGTGTCTTACACTGATAATCGTGGCATAGATGGAAGTTACTCCTACAGGTAAATACCAAATTTGACTTACATAAAATTATATAATATAATCAATTATTTTTGGTAATAACTTTAAGTGACGAATGGTGCGATTATGCTCACTATAACTGCTTGTCATATATTTTCATGTCCTCCACTCCTGTATTGAAACATATTGTTATCACTTTTTTTCAAAATAAGTGAGAGGGACGAGAATATATTTTATACATGTGTTTGAGTTCACGCTGTTGTATAGCAAGTTAATATGTAAATGTTTCGAGAGTGACTCATAGTTTTATCTTTCGCAACATTTAATAAGCGCTTACAAGTTTTTAGAAGATAGTGGTGTAATAAGGAAAGCTTTAAAAATATTTGTTTAAATAAATATTATGTAAATATTTTAGCTACGCATCAGCAGATGGTAAAGAGGTCCAGGAAAGTGGTTTTGTAAAAGATGCTCATATTGATAACGCGGGAAATCCACAGGGCACTCAGGTACATATATCGTGTTGTTTTTAATTTAAACTAAAAGTATTAAAGTTTATTTCTAATTAAAATAATATGATAATAAAATTGCAGGTTAAAGAAGGTGGCTTTGCGTACACATCGCCCGAAGGTGTACCAATAAAAGTGAACTATGTTGCCGATGAGTACGGTGAGGTTATTTACGATTATAATTTTATTGATTGACAACCGCGAAATTTGAATAATTTAAAGCTAGTTTGCCTTTCTCGAATTCGGTCACGATTTTGTACCGACCGAAGCTTAATCGATGATAATGTGATGGTCATCGTGTGTATTAAAATGAAACTTCCTGATATATTAAAAAGTTTAATCAATATTAACTTTTTGGTCTTCCTAAAATAAATCCTCACAGTCTTAAAATAATAGTAACAAAGTTTGACGTCAAAATAATCATTTTCATCACGATTAAATAGCGCTATTTAAAGCTTTACAATTATTTTTGAAACAATTAGATATAGATGATTCTTATGTGCTTAAACGTAAACTGTTTTAGTAAAGATTGTAATTAACTATGTCTTAAATTTGCAGGATTCAGACCGGCAGGAATTAAATTTCCAGCCGATGGAAGCGTAGTACCATCTCTAATTAACGGAACAAAGGATGTAAATCCGTTTTATAACAACTACAGTCCCTTCAACTATGGCAATAGGTATAACAATAATTATGGACCTTATAACAATTATAGACCTTACGATCCCAGATACCCAAACGCTCCTGGAAATTATCCCGTGTACAATCCTTACCGGCAGTTTGGATATCAGAAAAGAACAACTCAAGAAATCTCTAAAAAAGATACAGCGTAGATGTCATGTCACATTACTTATACCTTCTGCGTATATTTTTTAATTTTTTGAAAATCTTTTCGTTTAAATATGTTCACGGGTTTTTTGTACGTTTCGAATGCTATAACTTCATAAATAAAAAAAAATATTATCAATCCAGAAAAACTCTTTTATTTACTATTTTAAATAAAATAAAACATACCCCGAAAAATCAACAAATATAAACCAAAATAGTACGTATATATAACCTGTACTATTCGTGGGAGAGCTATATAATTCAGCTCGGTGACCGTAAATGGGCGGAAAATATTCAAAGGATCTGCATTTGGATGTCTTAGATATTACAATATGAAAGTCGAGTTGTTAATGAAAGTTTTTTATAGAATATGAGGGCAAACGTGTAGGCGATCACCTTATGTTAGTTTATCTGATCCCCGAACAACACCGAATGAATTAGATGGATTTAAGGGAAGATTACGCTCTTATCTTAAAGGGCCCAGAGTTGGAAATACCTTTGAGAACAGTAAGTTTAAATGCACATAACAACTAATTAGTAGAATTGCAACTTAAAAGTGTCTTGATAAACAATTGTAGGGCATACATCAATCACAAGGAATATACAACAGTTTAATGCAGATCATTATCTTTGTTATCTGAGCAATCTGTGTATGAAACGTGTTCCATGCTATAAAGCAAAACAACATTAAAGATGAATGATATATTCATGGCATTTTTTATTTATATATGCACACCTTTGTGCTTCATTTTATTTAAGAAAAATATTTTTCATGGTTCTTTAGTATTTTAAAAATTTTAGTTTTCGTGTTGAGGCTTTAGCAATGGTGTTATAGTTTAATAGCTAATTTGTCAATTACATCTAATCAGCATAAAGATTAATAAATACTTTTAAGAATTTTTTAAAACTGTTTTTTTTAAATATTGAAATATGTACATTCAAAGTAAACAAAAGACAGTTTGCTGGCAAAATTATGACATGCCAATCAGAAATAAATAACACCAAGACATCGAAACCGAGTGTATTAAAAAGTACTTAATAATAATTAAAGAGATTTTATGGGATTCGACTATAATATCTTCCCACTAACTACTTGTCTTGAGGCAAAAATCTTGAATTTTGTGTTTTCCACAGACTTTTGAACGTAACTGAAGTGTTATAATACCTCAATAAAGTACGTAAGAATGGTATAAAAGTCAACGAAAAATATTTTGGTATTATGTATGAAGCACTGATGTGGCAAGATCAATAAATTTTTCTTCAAAAAAAGCCTTGTTGAAGTGTGTCACATACGTATTCCCGAGACTGGTTTGTAGAGTTCTGTCCGTGGTGATGCCTTTATATACTACTCGAGGCTACCTTTGCAGAATTTTTATTACATAATATTTGACACGACATCTTTAAATTTTTGGATACCGAAAATATTTTCTTGGAAACTCGTTAATGATTTTATCTTTCGTTAAATTAAAATCACATTGGCAACAGGACGAACAAGATGACGTACTTTTTTGCGAATGACCTGTTCAGTAAAAATTATGTGATTCACCAATTTAAATTATCTACGAGTACTAATTGTCTTGAAGAACTAAGATGTATGTTAGTTAATAGTTAAGACTTTTTAAGTGAATCAATATCTATTTTTATTGAATAAGAATTTGCTATAAAATTCCTTACGTATAATGTTTGATTTACATTTATTCCATTGTATAAAAACTTTAATTAAATCCGATTTATTTTATAATATTGATTAATTATTAAATCTGAAAGTACTCAGCTCTTTTCGATCAAGATTTTTGCAATAAACGTCGCATCGTGTTATTGAATTTAATAATCATAGGTTCAATAATTATGCTCCATTAAAAGAAAATGCATGTTCATTATGGGTCATAAAATTTAAATTGCTTATTATTGATCGCTCTTGAAGTTGGAGTGGTATTCCTGTATCAATTAAAAGCACATTGCATTTTATTCGAAACATCACTGTGATATCTCTATAAGGGATCGAGAGCTATCCTTTGTCAAGCCGACGTAAGGAGATGCATCGGATCTGCAACAGTATGTAATTGCTCCAAAGTTTCACGTATAAATACCGGGGGTTCATCCGGACTGCATCATTCTGTCGGCTCCTCGTTTGCATTCAACTTGTTACTCCAGTGTTGACTCAACATGAAATATTTCGTAAGTATAAAGAACTTTTTTCATCTTAAAGCCCACAGTATAGCATATTTAAAGCGCTTAGCGTATTTCGCCACTTGCAACATCTAAAGATATGTATATTATAGTATCTAGTCTAGTCCTGCAATTTGTTCTATTATCAATTTCTTTAATAAAAAACTTTTAACCTTGCATAATGAGGAAGTTAAGGAACTTAATAAAAGACTTATACTACGACTATTTAAACTTTTAAGGATATGAAAGAAAATATTTTAGTAAATAATCTGTATTGAATGTTTTCCTTCACCAGGTGGCGTTGGCTGTTATTATGGTCGCTGTGTCCGCTGATGTGGGCATCATCCAGCCTTTTCCTCCGCAGCCTGTGTATCAACAACAACAACTTTACACAACAGAACCCATCCCTATAATAAGACAAGAGCATGTGCAGAATCCTGATGGATCTTACAAATGGAGGTATTAATACGGCATGTTTTTAAAAATGGGGCAAAGAGCGGCGTTAACATCGAGGTGATCATCGGCGCCAATAACATCAGTCGACTTGCAGATGCATTGCCGGTCGTCGACGGCCGGCCGGCAGTCATATTATCAAATTTCTCACTTAATAACATGATTAATCTTAATAGAGCGAAAGTTATAAACATGTTAAAAGACGAGAGATGCTGATGGTACTACATGATAATGAAGAAATTACCACTTCCCATCTGAAGGGATCGTGGTAAAGCTCTAATTTAATCGTTATCAATTAAAACGAGAAAGATTAAATTTGCAATGACCTTCTTCACAATAATCATAAGGACGTGGTTAAGTGATTTACAAGGAAATAATAAAATTGCACGATTTTATTTTTGGGCAACAGTTGTTACTATCGTCTCTTGAAAGCTTTTATGAAAGCTGTTTATTTTATACTTATTAAATTCGTCATGAAAATTGAAGAGATCTGTCTAATAATGTCCTTCTTACACAACATGGTCGCATTTTAAGCAGCTCCATTTTGTGATGTCTTTTAAACACGAGTGCAAAGGTTATGGTATCTCGTTATTGGAAACGTGAGATTCTAACCGACGTGACTTTCTCTTAGTACAGTTATGGCAATATAGATCCAACTTCATGCAATTTTAGTTCCCAAGTTTATTTAAGTTGATTGCAAGAAATCTTACATTAATCTCAAATTTTAGTTCTTACTAAATGTAAAAGTTTGGATGGATGGATAAACGGAACTAGATAAGATTTGGACATAAAGTATGGTATGGAATTAGCGCATTAGCTACTAACTCAGTTTTTTTTCTTAGCTACGAGACTGGGAATGGGATATCAGCTGAGGAGCTTGGTTACATCAAAAACCTGGGCGTGCCAGAACAGGAGGCGCAAACCGCACAGGGACAGTACCAGTACACTGCGCCCGATGGACAGGTAACGCTTTGAGTTATTAACAAATTGTACAAATGTAAACGATCTAGGAGTAACAAGATATAATGAAGACAGATTAAAAATTAGAGCGTTGGTGGCGCAGGGGTAAAGCTTGAAATCTGAAGGTCCTGGGTTCGAATCCCGCCATGTACCAATGTGTTTTTCAATTTCTGATTTACATATGTATGTACATTTATCCGACGTTCTTACAGTGAAGGAAAACATTGTGATGCAACCTGCACATATCTGAGAAGAAATTCAACGATATGTGTTAAGTCAACCGACCCGCACTGAGCTAGAGACTATGGCCTAATCACCCTTAACTTAGGATAGGCTCCGAGCCCCTCGGTGGGGACGTATAGTAAGCTGATGATGATGATGATAATGAGATTAAAAATTGATAGGGTTCAATTTCGAACCTATTCTAAATTAAGTCGAAATGGGAAAGAAAGTTGATTTTGATTTAAATCAGTAAATAATAGTTGATTAAACATAATCCTACCTGGTGACTACTGGCTTTTCCAATGGCAATAGGCAGACGGTTAATAATCTGTGGATTCAATATTTTTGAAACATAAACTCTGTGGTTTACACCATCATTGGCATATCTTTATATATTTTTTAACTGTGGCGGTAACTAAAAATGCTTTCCTATTTCAGGTCATACAACTCAAATACGTAGCAGACGAAAATGGCTTCCAACCCCAAGGAGCCCATATTCCCACTCCACCGCCGATACCTCAAGATATCCAAAAGGCTCTTGACTATCTCGCTACTTTACCCCCACAGAATTCTGACACAAGAAACTTTGGACATCAATAAACTTAATATATAAAAAAACAAACATTGAGGCTTAATTGTAAACTATTAATTATAAGTTAATTATATTCATTAATAACTTTTGTGATATTTAACACAAGATTAATGTGAAATGAACAAATATGTTATTTCTTATTATTTTAGTTGTATCGCAAACGTGTGTATTCTGTTAAAATAAAAATTTATCAGTTATAAATTTCGTGTCTGTACTTCTTTATTAAATTCACAGTGTATTTAAGGCTGTAAACAAAAAGTGTAAAGACTTTTACTTCAGTTAATTAACACAAGCTTTTTGCTATATATTTTGCTAGAATAAATGTAATTGTTACGTTTGAATAATGAATCTTCATGGTAAAAGAGTAATTACAATTAATTATTTCAATTACAAATTATAAACTTTTTTCACAAAAAATGTTATTGCCCAAAAGTTCAAAGGAGTGCTGTAAAAATTTCGAACTTAATATCGAGACTTTGACGTCCTTTCATGAACAAGAGCAGTTTCTGTTGCGTGTTTTATTGGTATTTTATTTTATATACTAGCAACTGCTCCTTCTCTTCGTTCGCGCGGAATAAAAATATCTAGTAAATGATATGTTTCCTGGGGATAGTGTAGCTTTCTAACAGTGATATAATTCAAATCGGCTCAGTAGTTTCGGGACTTATTCAATGCAAACAATCATTTCTTTCCTCTTTATAATTTAAAGACAACTTCTATGCTGGCCTTCTTTTGAATAGGTTAGGGTAAAATTGCGGTTTATCAAAGAATAAAATGCGGGCCGCATGCAAATTAAACTTAGTCAGCTAAGGCTATCTTAACTTCCTTAAACGCAATTCTATAAAATATATTCGTATACGTTTGATATATTTAAGCTAATTTTTTTGCTAATTTTAAATAAGGTGTGCAGTTTTATCAGTTAGTTGTACTAATATTCATGGATAAAGTTATTTACACCTAAAAAAAAGTGTGTAAGTACACTTCATAATTTTACCTACATCCGAAAAACGATCAACCCAAAAAGGGACGATTATAAAATAATCATATTATTTAACTAATTCGTTAATAGGATTGTGTTGTCCACGAGATCTCTATTTTAAGGAATATGTCAGGAGTATTTGAAAGAACTATGTTTATTTCCACACAAAGCATTAAGAAAGATTTGTGGTGTGATATTGATGCAGAAATGGAAAACATGTTTTTTTTTTCAAATAGCGTTTGTAAGTTCAATGACCTGGTCGTTCAGTGAGGGTATAGAAAAAGTCAAACTGCATAGGATCTGAAAGAGGATCAATAAGTTGGTAACCGCGTTTACTAGAAAAGCTTAGCAAAAAGTAGATTAAATCGTGAGATTTAGTGTAATTGGGGCTGGTGTGCACCCTGATTCCTTTAATAAAATTGAAATCGACGAGACAACTACGATATCCAGGCCGACTGGAACAATGTAATGCAAGAGCAATGCAATAAGTAGCAGCATGCAACCAAGAATTTTTCATGGATAGAAATTACATTTTTACATTCTATATTTCCAATATTTGATATTTAAAAAGCTATAATTTCTTTCCTTTTACTCAAATGTTAATTTTCATTTTTTTTAAAAATCCGATTCCAAAGTGATAAACAATCTGATAGTAACAATTATTTAGAAATTATCAAACCTTTTACAGAAACAGTGATATTATGGGCGTTGAGATGTCATCTGTCACTGAGCAGTGCGCAGTGAGTTGAGCAGATGTCTCCGGTGCTCGCAGACCAGCCGGCCCCCGCTCACTCGACCGGTCCGTTCACTTTCCCCGCGCGCCATGTCAAGGTCGTAACGACGCATCACCATAAACCACTCGTACTGACACCTTGATGCTCGCATGACGAAAACTCAAGCTTTTGACCACGAGATATTATCAAGGTTATGTTGCACTCAATATTCTGGAAGTTACTGACATTTACTAATGTAACTTAAAGGTTCCAAAGTTATACGAGTATACCTCCTTTGCCGGAAAACATGACGGGAAAGTGGACGATATGGTTACATGATGTGCTAAGTTTTTTTTTTAATTTTTGGAGAAACAGATGTAAAAAATGTATCGAATTTTGGATACTCTAAAACAATTCAAATCAACTTATTTTCGGCCACGGAGTGATAAGTTCATTATGTAGTACATCATTTCCAGACACCTTTATAACGTATATTATGCTTTAATTGCCGAAAAATCTACTCGGATTACAGTCTCAGTCATTGAAAATTGAATATATTTGAACCACTGGTATTGAAAATAATTAAGGAACAAGTTTAAGGCATATTGATTATAACACCAAAAAAACATCTAATGTGTAAACTATCAATCAATAAACTTAGCAATGAATAGTTCAGTCAATAGATTATTTTAATTGCAACGATTGCGTAATTGTGTAAATTATTGCTGTTATTGTTGCACAGAACATCAACGACAAGAGTGACAAAGAGTGTAAAATGTCAAATGACTCCACCACATTATCATACATAGACAAGTCCCAACAAATACATGTTAATGCAGCAACCAAAATTCGCCCGAAGTCATTCTATTGACTAAAACTGCCTACAATACGATTTACATAACAGATATGAGTGAAATCTTTTGTTGTCTGATCATCTATTCATAAGGATGATTATTATATTGCATAACACAGATGTCGACTGTGTATGTATGTACCATTTCATGGGTTACAGTCGCGTGAATTAAAATCTCAGTACGGGATAATTCTTTCTCAATATGATTTCTTGCAAAATTCAATGTAACTATGGGTTTTCACAACTACAACACTCACAAAAAGATATATTGTTGTCTCTTCCGTTCTTTTTTAATAAAACTAAGATATCAATACGTTTTAACGGGTGTAACGCACAGAGGAAACCCACGTCCCGCTTTTCTTGAGGATATTTAAGTCAAGGCTCTAGGTCCCTTGACTGGGATTCCTACGAAGCGTGTGGCCGATCCATGACCACTTGCGGCGTTTTATTTGCTGACCAATCGGCTGCTCTCTACTACGTGCCAGGAGTTCTTCGAAGGAAATAAAGCGAACTCGCGGCGAACTATGGACGCCCTCTGCCCCTCTACGGGGACATAGGACTTTAAGTCCATAAGGCAAGTCTTGGTCCCTTACTTTTAATTACCCTATTGGGCCTTCGTACGGGTCAGTAAAAATCATAGTGATGTAAATATATACTAACTATAATAAATTATATATGTGTCATTTTATAAGTATCTAGCAACAATTTCACCTGATAATAAGTGAAGACGAAAGATAGCATGTTGAGAATAAATCGTGACTTTAAATGTCGAGGATTTCTCTTTCAATATCCAAAAATATCACGAATCCAAAAGACAGTTCTTAAAATAAACTTTTATATAACGCCGCCTGTGCGTTTACACTTGTATGCTAATTTATGTGATAGATGATGATATTCTGTTGCTTGAAATTTTATTCGTGGAAATTTATATCTTAAAAAAATATTATTTAGAAATACAAAGATAGCAGGATATATCTGTATGAGAAAATATATTTATTTAGCATAGAAGGCTCAGCTAAAGTAAAATTATGAAATTTAATTTATAAGCTGAAGTTAACATTGTAAAGGGTAAAGATTGTGAAATTGCAGAATTGACTTTACTCATTATAATGCAAAATACCAAGAAATAACGTGATATTTTTTTATCTGAAAATATAGCCAAGAAACAATGAATTACAATTTAAGGCAGGAAAAATTGTCACCTGTATATCCTATAATTTTTATCTATTAATTTATGCTTTTTAAATTCATAATAAATGGATGATATTTTTTTATGCGCAGATTACAATGAAGTGCACGAGATGAACGCGTGCTGTAGCGGGTGGAGTCTTGGGTGTACAAAACAGGGTTGTCACATTCGTTAGCAAATAAAGTATATTTTAGTCATTAAGGCTTGAAAAAAGCTTAATGAAATTAAGAATTAAGAAGTATTTATAGCCCTAATAATAATTTCATATGTCCATATTCACTTCACATTTTTTCTATAGTGATTGCAAGTATTAACGACTTTTTTACTATTCAAATATAATTAAAAAAAAATGGTTATCTGCTAGAAATTAAAAATGTAACGAACAAATTGTTTTGCTATTTCTTTGAGTATTTCCTGGCAGTATAGTCTTCAATTAATGTGGCACGGGTGGTAACCCTAGCGTAACACCGGTGTTCGGTGCTTGCGTTAAGGTCAATACTGAACAAATGAAGAATCCGTTAGCTTTGTTGACAACGGTTACGTCGCCGCACCGAGTTGACATATACGAGTCGAGGTAATGCATTTACTATTTACTTATTTCATAGATTTCGAAGTCGCAATGAATTGCGAAATAAAAATTGCAGGGAGGTGGGCAAATCGGACCGGTATAAATACGTAATTGTAAGGATGCAGCCTTATCAGTCACTCGATACTACTTCAGCTACTTCTGTTTGTCAACCAACAACAAATCTGACAACGATGAAGTCCATTGTAAGTGTATTAAAAACAGTGATATTTACAAACCAAACAAGTGTTGGATGATCAGTGAAACTACCGTGAAAATTACAAATATTTTTATGAAAACCAACTAATAAATTGAGTGCATTAAACGGATATTTAAAACTAATTTTGTGTTTCATCCTTTCCAGGCTTTGGTTGCCCTTTTCGTCGCGGTGGCGTTTGCCGCTCCTCAAGCACCAACAGAACCGATCCCGATTCTTCGTCAGGACAGCCAGATAAACGGCGATGGTTCATACCAATACTCCTTCGAAACTGGAAACGGCATCAGTGCGGACCAGAAGGGTGATCTCAAGAAGGTCGGAGATGTCGAAGCTTTGGAGGTACAAGGCCAATTCCAGTACCCGGGTGAGGATGGCCAGAACATCCAGCTGACTTACACCGCTGATGAGAACGGATTCCAGCCCCAGGGCGCTCATCTGCCCACCGCTCCCCCAGTACCGGAGGCCATCCAGCGCGCCCTCGCACACCTCGCTACCGCCGCGCCTCAAGCCCAGGAGCAATGAGAGACTGATCAACAAACTATAATTCATATCTTTAAAATGTAGTTCAATAGAAAGTCATTGTCTATACTACTTTAAATGAGATATGATATCATATTTGTTTATGCGATAAGCATTAATTTTATGTTTTTGTAA